ATCTGGAGATATTCAATGGTTATTCAAAACCCAGTAAATAATTGGAGATAAAGCAGGGACCAGAAGCTAAACTCCTGGGCTCAGGTCCAGATACCCTTCCTCTACCTTGCTCTTCCTCAGTGGGGATGCATATAATTACAATTTAATTACAGTAAGATAATAAGATTATTAACTACAATAATAATAGTTGCCATGTACTGAGTTCCTACTAAGTGCCAGGAGTAGATATGTTTTATCTCTAATCCACACAACAATCCAGAAAGGTAGGTATCATCCCCATCTTAAGATTAAAAACTTTATTAATTTTTAAATTAATCTTATGATTAATTTTTACCCTTAACATTTAAAAAGTTTTCTTTAATCTTTACAGATTAAAAACAAGGTTGGATGGAGTTAAGAGTCATACCTGCTGGGGCTGAGGCACTCTGATCCCCCACTCCCAGCTTTGACTGGAACATGCACTAAACCTTCAGTCTTTGTACCTGCGAATTCCTGGTCTAGAACACTCTTACTCTAAGTATCTTAAGGACAACTTGATCACTTCTTTCAAGTATCTGTTCCAATATCACCTTATCAGTCTCCTTCCTCAGACTGAAATCTGTCTTCTCTCCCCTTTACGTTCTCACACCTTCTCTCTCTCCCACTGCTTTATTTTCTCCATAGTATTGTTGCCACTTGAAAAATTTTATATTTATTTATATTTCTGGTCTGTCCATCTTTGATAGAAAGTAAGCCATATAAAAGAACTTTGTCTATTAGGATCACCAGTGGCTAGGAATGAGGCCTAGCTCATAACAGGTGTTCACTAAATTATTGCATAAATGTGTAACTGACTGAGTGAATACATCCTAATTCTCTTACATTGCCCATTAGAAAACATGTATGTACTCAGGAGAAACATTTAAAGTACAAAAAGACTACTAAGGCAAACACCAGTCCCCAGCTCCTCCGAAGCCAATAGACGGCCACAGCTTCAGAGAATCAGAATGGCAAGGTATTTCCCCACCAGAAATGCCAGGACCTCCAACCACAGGCAAAGTCTCGTTTGCCTCTGTGTGAGGAAGGGAGGAGGAGGCAGTGCTTCTGCCCATCAGGGCTGCCTGCGATGGAATGGCGAGCAGGTAGCGGAAAGCTTCAAACAACAATAGCTATTTACCATTCTCTAGAAAATTATTTGGGTATTTTAACAACCATATACCTATGCAAAATGGTTGAGTTATCACTGCCTCATTCCTAGCATTGGTACAATTATTTAAGTAATTCACCCAATGACAAATGTCACAACTATTCAATTACTAGATACTTTACAGATCTCTAGAATTATGTCAGCTAATAAGGAGAAAACATTATAAAAGAATTGAAATATGGTGTTAAAGCTTGCCTTTTTAAGAAAAGAGTTACAAGGAGTTTTGAGAAAAAGTTTGGGAAAAATAGACTGGTAGACAGAGATATAAAGATAGGGGAGTATATACTGAATATACTGATGATATTTCATGATTTAAAAAAATTAATATTACTATTTCAGTAGTATGACTGTATTGTGTTATTCACTCATTCGTATATATATATATATATATATATATGCATATATATATATATATATGCATAACTTTAGGAATCTTTCTATTTAACATACTGAAAGTTTTATGGTTTGAATTATATAAGTGATATTTGCCTCAAAATTGTGTTATTCACTCATTCGTATATATATATATATATATGTATATATATATATATATTTATGCATAACTTTAGGAATCTTTCTATTTAACATACTGAAAGTTTTATGGTTTGAATTATATAAGTGATATTTGCCTCAAAATAATTTGTGGCAGTAAAAGGGCAGATAATGAAACAATGAAGATAGTCTGTTTCTTGATAACTGTTGAAATTAGATGATGGGTATATGAACATTCATTATAGAATTCTCATCACTTGTATATGTTTGAAATTTTTCACAGTAAAAAGCTTGAAGATTATTAAATAAAATGTTCCACTAAAAAACAAAGTTGCCTACTGTTTTTTCTCAAATCCTTCAGGCAGATTCAGTTGACTGAGGTTGCTATTATAACTCATTATAGTTACCACCATTAAATGACTCTCCATTAGATTAAAGATTGTGGGTTCCAAAAGGCCAAACACTGTCTCATTTATTTTGGTTTCTCTAGAGCCTAGCACAGTGTCTAGCAAAATGTCAGCCCTTAATAAATGTTTAGTGAACCTAAATATGAATGAAAAAAGAGACAGAGTATATACAATCTCATTTGACTGTGTGGCTTTGTATAAACGAAAGTTTTTTTTTTCCCTATGTCATTCACTTGTTAGACAATCATTGATCAAAAAGAACTGAAACCATATTTATCTGATATTCCTGCAACATTCTTTTAGAAGTACTATCTAACTGTAAAAACTTATTTGGAGACTTCTTGCTGACTCAACACTGTATTTAATAGCTACATGATTCAATATGAGTTAAATGCCAAATCTGGTTTTGCAAATATCTAAGGGATCTCCAATTAACATCAAAGATGTCATATGTTTCTTAGAGAATATTAATTTTAAATCATTTAAATACAGATGCTGAAAAAAATCCTTAAGATTATACACCAAACACTGGTAAATTTCCAGAGATGTGCTTGCCAAAACAGTATTAATTAGCTACATGTGGTTATTTAAATTTAAGTTAATTCAAACAATATAAAGTGTAAAATTCAGTAACTCAGCTGTACCAGCCACAATTCACATGCTCAGTATGGTAGCTCAACTAGTGGCTACCATATTGACAATGCAGATATACAATATTTCCATCACAGCAAACACTTCTACTGCATGGTACTACTCTAGAAGACTTTGATCAGAAGAGACTCTCACTTTCTATTATATATCTGTATTGCCTAAATACTGCAAGCAGGCATGTATTTCTTTTTATCAAGGCAAAATATAAATATAAAACTTGCCATTTTAACCACTTTTAAGTGTACAACTCAATGGTGTTAATTACAATCACAATGTTGTACAATCATCATCAATCTTTCCAAAACCTTTTCATCATCCCAAATGTAAACTCTTTAACCATTAAGCAATAACTCTCCATTCCCTCTCCCTACCCTACAGCCACAGGTAAACTCTAATCTACTTAGTGTCTGTGAATTTGCCTATTTTGCATACTCACTTAAGTGGAATCACACAATAGTTGTCCTTTTGTGCCTGGCTTATTTCACTTAGCATAATATTTTCAAGGTTCATCCATGATGTAACATGTATCAGAACTTTATCACTTTCATGGCTAATATTCCATTTTATGAATATATCACATTGTTTATCCATTCATCTGCTGATAGACACTGGGTTGTTTCTACTGTATAATGCTATACTGAATACTGGTGTACAAACAGTTCTTTTGAGTTCCTGTTTTCAATTCTTTTGGGTATATACCTAGTAGTAGGATTGCTGGGTCATACTATAATTCTATGGTTAGCTTTTTGAAGAAACATCAAACTTTTTTCCACAGTGGCTATAGCATTTTACATTAAGTGGACTTTGTACCTTTGTTAAAAAAATCAATTACCCATAAATGTATGGGCTTATTTCTTGACCCTTAATTCTATTCCATTGGTATATATGTCTATCTTTATGTCATTTCCACACTGTTGATTTTGATACCTTTGTATTAAGTACTGAAATCATAGGGCATGAGTCCTCTGACTTTGTAATTCTTTTTCTAGATTGTTTTGGTATTCAGAAGCCCTTAAAACTACGTATGAATTTGAGGATCAACTTTTCCATTTCTGCAAAAAAAGCTGTTAGAATTTTGATAGGAAATGCCCTGAACCTATAGATCACTTTGGGTGGTCCTGGCAGCTTAACAATATTGAGTCTTCCCATTCAAGAACATGGATCTCTTTCATGTGTTTTAAATAAGACCTTTATTTAGGTCTTATTTCTTTTAGCAATGTTTTTTAACTTTCAATGTACAAGTCTTTCACCTCATTGGTTAAATTTATTTCTAGGTATATTATTCCTTTATATTCTATCATATGTGGAATTATTTTCATAATTTCCTTTCCAGATTGTTCATTGTAAGGTACATATAATTTTTGTGTGTTGATCTTATATGCTGCAACATTGCTGAATTCTAGTAGCTTTCTCTTTGATTCTTTAGGATTTTCAAGTACAGGATGTGTCATGTGAGAATAGAGATAATCTTACTTCTTCCTTACAATTTAGATGTCTTTTCTGTCCTTTTCTTATTTAATTTCTCTGGCTAGAACTTTCAGTCCAATGTTGAATAATACTGGTGAAAGTGAGTATCCTTGTTTTATTCCTAATCTTAGGGGAAAGGCTTTCAGTATTTTACCACTGAGTGTCATGTTAGCTGTGGGTTTTTCATAACTGCCCCTTATTGTACTAAGGAAGCTCCCTTCTATTCCAATTTTCTGAGTATTTTGATTATACAAAGGTGTAGCATTCTATCAAATGCCTCTTCTGCATCAATTAAGATGGCCATTGTTCTATTAATGTGATATAGTACCATGACTGATTTTCTCATGTTGAATGAAACTGCACTCCTGGGATAAACCCCACTTAGTTATAGTCCTTTAAATATGCTGCTGTGTTCAGCTTGGTAGTATCTTGATGAGGACTTAGAAAACATGTATTTCTGAGACAACTACAAGAAAATAATACAAACAGAGAATTATAGCTCATATTATATTTTAGTTAAGACTTTTTTTAATTGGTGGGAAATGTATGTATCTTTAAGATTCTGTTGAATACTAAAAATTAGTATGAAGTAAGAGGAAAATTTGTTCATTTTTATGTCAGTAATAAGTTTTACTGACCTTTTAAGGCTGATGCAATCTCTAAAGATGTTGCTTATTTAAGTATCATTTTTTATGAACTTGCAAATATATGCTGAACCTCTAAAAAAAACGTCTGCAGGATGAACATAGCATCATTAACTCTAAATCTACTTCTAAAATAATATGAAAATACTTTACCCCTTCACAGAAAACTTTTGCACAGTCCTTTGCTAATTTTCCAAAAAACAGTACATTGATGGTGCTGATCTCTGCATTTGAATTTTCTTGTTCTAGAGAGAAAAACACATACAGAAAAACATTTATTAGATACAGCAGTTTTACATATTTAAGAAAATGGATAACTACATTTTGAAAACCATAATTACTTCAAAATGCAATTATAAAAAAGGATAATTAAAATGTTCATAATTCACTTTTAGTTTAATACCCTAAGTAATGCAAAAATGACAGAAAATGCTAATAGGCCTTAAAATCAATATTATGTAACATTTCAATCAGAATATGCATTTTAAATTTCTGTAAATATTACATTAATGTCATATAATGATCACTTCCTATTTATTCTCTCATATTCATAACTGAAATTAAATAAGGTATTAATTATTCAATTTATATACAGTATAACATGTCACCCCCAAAGTACTTCATTTTTACTTAACTTGTAGTAATCCACAGTTACCAGTACATTAAGTTTTAATCTGGACAAGTGTGATCTTCTCCCCAAGCAGCCATATATTAAAGAGTTAAAGAGCAGAGTATGTGTAAAGACCAAGCAAACTGTTGATTCAGAAAATGAAAATTACTTGGGAAATAAGGAATGCATATTCTACAAGTAACCTCATTTGCATTTTCTAAGCTTTGGAAAACTATCTCCATAATCTTCATTCTCCAGAGATATCTCCTTTAACCACTACAGCAGGGCCAAATGCTAAGACTCAATTAATGATCTGAGGGAAGTTTCATCCATATCAGCTTTCAAACACTGAGCTAATCCGAGGACTGCCATCATATCAGATCTTTATGCATTTATGAACCACATGAAAGGTTTTTCCAAAATTGGCAGTCTTCTTTGTGTGACTTAGAACTCCTGAATCTATTACTCTATCTGTTCTGGTGGCAGTCAGCAGTGAAAACACTACCACAAAGCTGCCCACTGCCTCCTTTCACTTATCTCTTTAGGCCAATTCCTCAAAAGAAGTATACATATAAATTGAAAGAAACACTGTTGTTCCTCAAATACAAAAAACACAGTGGCTTCCAATCAAAAGATAACACACTCCATTAATATCTTAACTGAACTGTGAGATGTCTGTTTCTGGCCATAATGGAGTAACAGGGATTAGATGTATTCTGCAGCCTTAAAACAACTAGATAACTAAGAAAAAAATATATGAAACAACAGTTTTCAGACATTAAACAACAGAAAGTGCTGAAAAGTGATTTCTCTGAAGAGGAAAACAAAGCAATATCCTCAACCTACTTCCTGGAGAGTCTTTTCAGGCAGCAGAAAATAGAGGTAAAACTCAAACAAAGCCCAGCAACCTCAATGAATTCAGAATAGTTCAGATTTAAGGATGCCAAGGGGCTAGAATCTTCAGGACAGAGTGCTGAAAGGAAAAGGACAGTGCAGAAAGGAAAAGGACAGAAAGTGCTCTAGAGATCTGAAGTTGGGTGCCTTCAGGTCTTTGGATGAGTACTGATCTCTAAGTACATGGCAGGAAACTATCCCAGGCAGGGGAAAGAACTAAAAAGAATAGGCAATTCCTTGAATCACACAGGGCTAGGAATTGTTCTGGTTCCAGCCAGCCAGAGTGCAGCAGAATCATCAGAAGGTTATGTTTGGCCAAATTAGCCTCAAAATAAATTCTGTTCTAGACCGACCCTAACAAAACTAATCACATTAATTCCAAGATAATTAAATGCACCATGAAACAAAGACAAATAATATTTAAAGGATGACAAATAAATCTAATATTGGATATTTTAAAACTTCAATGTCAGCATCTACCAAAAAATTACCAGCCATGCAGAAAGGAAAAAGAGGCCAACATAAAATAAGCAGAGAGTGGGAAAAAATTCAATAGAAAATAACTTCAAATGACAGTGATAACAGAGTTGCCAGATAGGATTCTAGAGTAGTTGTTAAATACAATGGTAAAGATGAATACTGTGAGGAGAAATGGAAGATATAAAAAAAAGATTAACTTCCAGAGTTGAAAAATGTAAGTTAATAGTGCACTAACTGACTGGAGTTAACTGCAGAGTAACCAAGAAGAAAATATTATACAAAATTGAAAAACAGAGTAAAATCAATGAAAAGAAAAGCTGACTTTGAAGATCAATAAAATAAATCTCTAGCCAGAATGATCAGAGAAAAAAAATGAAAGAGAAATAACAAATTATCAAAGCAATAAAATAGGACATCACTACAGATACTACCAACATTAAAAGCATATCAGAAGTACCTAATGAATAACATTAAGCCAATATATTTGACAACTGAGATGAAGTGTGGATAAAACCCTTAGAAATACAAACTACTAAACTTACTCAAGAAAAAAAATGAATAGCCCTGTAAAAATGAAAGACATTGAACTTAGAATTAAAAGCTTTCCCATAAAAAAATTTCTAGGCACAGCTGGCTCTACTGGTGAAGTCCACAAATATTTAAGGAAGAAATAATAATAATCATAGCTAAACTCTTCCAGAAAGTAGAAGAAAGAATCACTTAACAACTGATTACCCTGACACCAAACCAGTTAAAATCATTGAGAAAGATTCAGATCAACATCCTTCATAAATTTAGATGTAAAAATCCTTAACAGAATATTATTAAAATCAAGCCTAGCAATGTATCAAAATGGTAACAGGCTTATACCTTATTTTGATTTATTTTTCTTCAAAACACATTTCTACCTAATACTACTTATGTAATTACTTACTCCCTAAAAATGTAAATTCCATGAAGGTAAAGACTTTGGTTTCGTCACTGCTGTATCCCCTGTACCGAGAACAGTGTCTGATACATAGGTTGTTTTCAGTAGTTGTAGAACGCCATAGTTCAAAGTCTATTTCCCATTCACTGCAGCAGACCACCCTTCTAACTAATTTTAGGCTTCAGATGAGATCTACTTTGGTCCCCAAGTATTCCAAGGTAGCCCTTCCAAGCTTACCAGGATTACTTGAGGGTTACTAGGGAAAGAAATTAACTTGTGTAACTACACCAAGCTAAGAACTAACATACTGGAAATAACATTTGAAGAAAGTTAAGCTTTCTAAGCTGTTTTGGTCACATTAATGAAACTAGTAAATAGGGGGACCAGTTAGCTATTGTTAATAGTTTAAATATGTGGCTAAAGAAATCGAAAGCAAAATAGAAGCTATGGGAGAAAGGGAGATACATTAGACAATAAGAGGAAAAATTAGTGAAGGAAAGACTAATCTTTCATTCTATAGATTTTTATACTACTGTGCATGTACTATTCATTAGAAATCATTTGTATACATACATAAAGTTACCCATTTGTTGTTTACAAGCAAAAAAGTTAAGCAGTGGTCTTATATACCTTGTAGTCCAATCTTCAAAACAGCTGTTCTGTTTCCACCATTAGTTAAAGAAGAGATAAATGAAAGTTTTCCCTGAAATGAGAGAAAAAAAGTTACTCAGAAAAGCCAAAAGAGCTTATTATAATACCAAGCTATAAGTAAAAATTAGAATAAAAATTTTAAAGTAGACTTTTGTCTTGCAAAAAAAATCAAAGTACTGTGTTCAAGTCACGGAAGTGATTTTTCTAATACCAAAAGGCCTAAAAATACTTCAGGTTCATTTAATTTTTAAAATAGTTTATTAAACATCACCAAGTCTTCATTTTACAGATAAAGATGGACTAGCTCAACTTGAGCTTTATTTGAACGTGTAAAACTATTCTCTATGAAAAAATTTGTTCCTAGAAAGAAACTAAAACTTATTAAGGAAAACCTTAAAAATGCAAATTGATAATCTCATAAATAAGGATGGTATTGACAAATCAATGGACTAATGCACAAGGACGGGTTAGACTTTGTTCTCCTTCTGTAACCAGCTCTGTCAGCTTTTAAACAGTCTCAGATGAAATGAATATTTAATCTGGATAATTTTTATAATTTCTATAATTCTATAAAATTTAATAATCCCATGAATAAATATAAGGCTCTATGAAAATTCTCACACAGAAAATAATTTATTTAATGAAGTTTAAAAATAGATCCTATAATACGTATCTCCCACATATCAATATTACAAACTTTGATTTATGGTGCTAATAGTAAAAAGAAAATCCAGCTATGTTTATACATTAATTTTACCTATAAGATAGGAGTCAGAAAAAAAAATTAAAAGGTTATCAACAGTACATAATGATTCAGTCAAAAACAAAGGTAATTATTCCACTTAAGAGGTAGAAAGCTGGAAAGAACAACAAAAAGTCAGATATTGGGCAAACTGAAATTTTTCTTTACTCTCCAGAGAGAAAGTCAGAAGGCAAACAACTAATGAAAAATATAGGAAAAGAGAAGTTCCTCCAAGGAGAGATGGGGGCGAGTGAGCTGAGGTCACAGGACAACCAACCAACCAGGTATCCAAGAAAACAGACATCTGATGAGAGACAGGCGTAGGCACTTGCTTACCTGACGCAAAGGGCAAATGCTGCCTGATATCTCTAAGAAATACTCATCTAATATTTTCAGAGTTGCTAAAGACCAAGTACGGGCTAATAAAAAGACATGGAGCTTCTGGGAGCTGCAAACACAAAGGGAATTCATACCCACTTACAAGCTCTTCTCCACAAACTTGACAAAGTTCAGACCAGGAGGGAATGGGGAGCAAGGGAGGTAGCAGTTACTGTAGGAAGGAAACCCTGCCTGGATCTTCCTCTTCTATCTTTCAGAACAAAGTCCTTGAAGTGCTGTCAAAGGGCAACAAAACTACGAAATACCACTGCAGCTGGAAGGGTCAAGCAGAAAAAAAAGCACTTTCTATATAACTTCTAGGGATGGCCAGGATTAGGTATATATAAAGAGCCAGACCTACCACTAGGGACAGGGCAGGCTCACTGAGAAGACCTCAACCAAAAGACCCACAGACACACTGCTTGATAAGACAGAGGCTTAATCAGGATACCACCATATCCATGACTTCAAATATAACAAAACCAACCACTCCAATTTAATGGCGAGCTTGTCAGATTAAAAAGCATGATCCAATGATACGCTGGCTAAGAGATACTTAAAATACAGAAGCATAAATAAGTTGAAAGTGAAAATTTAAAAAGGAATGTTGGCATAGCTATAGTATTATCAGAAAAAACAGATTCTAAGAAAAAGAGCTACCATAAAGAGGAACATTTGATAATGATATAAGGAATATTCATCAAAAAGAAATGACAACTTAGGTAAGAAGCTTCAAAATATGTGAACACTGACCTAACTAAAGGAAGAATAGACAGATCCACAATCATAGCTGAAATGAGCACCCATCTCTCAGTAACTGACAGAACAAGGAGAAATACAGCCAGTCAAATATAGATCTGAAAAACACCATCATACAAGTTTATACAATTGTAACTCTGGGGGGAACTATGTTCCCAGTCTGGGGCCAATTACCTTTGAAGTTGAAATCAGTCAAAGGGAGAAGTCAAGTGGGAGAAACCCATTTATTGCTTATGAGCAGTTGTCCACTTGTGCTCGCAGGTGTCTCTGGTAACCAGGCTGCAAAAAAGGGATCCCACCCAACCTCTCTGGTCCAGATATGCCCTCACTCACCCTTATAATCACCTATTGATATAGAGGTGGACTACTTCTCTCCACTCCTTGGACACACCTATTAATATGGAAATGCACTAAGGCAAAGCAGAAGATTCTGGAAATATAGAAATTTTACCCAGAACAATTCACATTTACAGACCACTATACCTGACAACTGCTGAACACACATTCATGTCAATACACATGGAATGTTCAGGAAGGCAAACCATATGGTAGTACATTAAATAAGTCTCAGTAAATTTCAAAAAAAATGAAATCTTAAAGATTTAAATTATAAATCAATAACAATAACATATCTAGACACATTCCTCTTCTCCCAGTCATTAACTTTCTTCATCCTTACATCCCCTTTAATTGCACCCTTTCCTCTTCATTCCTTCATAACAAAATGCATTTCTTTGTTATGAAAGTATTTAGAATGAAAAAGAAATCACACAAATATGAAGTGTAAAGGCTAAAATACATATAAATATTTAAAAATCCAGAAAAGTAACCTAATTTTGAATCAACTTATTTCCTGATACATCTCTTTAACTACATAGTTCTTCACATTTATGACTATAATCTTTTCATGTCAATGATTTTATAACATTAGTGTCTATAGAGAATATAAAGATAATTCCATTTTTCCTACAGCATAACTGACTAAAATTTGATTTTTGTAATTGATAGTTTACAATGATTGTATTCAACTTCACTCATTATTGGTAACCCCACATAAATTTTTAGGACTGCTGCCAGGTTTGAGAAAATTTCTATTAAGTTTCTTTCATACATAAGATGTAAGATTTGAATCAATTCTCCTTAAATTAGTTTCAGACTCTATACATTTCACTACCTGTTTTTCCCCCACTAGCTACATTCCCATGCTAGGTGGGACATGAGATATCACACCCGTATACAACTTCTGGCCCCACACTTTTCTTCCAGACTGCCCAGTGAGTTGGAGTGTTCCTGGAAACCATTCCTACACCAGGAGAGCTAGCAATACCTGCTATAAATGAAAGTGACTGTAAAGCACATGAATATATCTCACTGAACATGTTCCACAAGTCAACTTCCCCTTAGCTAGACTTCAAAAGTGTTCTCACTCTAATACCACTTGATAAAAGGGAAAATGTGATGGACGGGGAAGTCAAAATAGAAAGAGCAGCCTTAGCCATTCATGTTAAAACAACCTGCTTGTGTAAATTTTACAAATATATGAAAGCATCAATTCATTTCTAAGAACCCTAACAGGGTCTAAGAAGGACTTGTGCAATTAAAGAGTCTTTGAAGCTTGAACTTCACTAGCTGCAAAATAATTTTGCCCATTAGTGGGATTATGGTACATTATTTTCACTAAAGTGAGAGACTAAGTGAACTCCATATCCAAAGACACTGATGTTGAGGATATCATCATTCTCTTTACCACAATAATGAGCAATTACTAAAGGTTCAGAATTCATTAAGCACTTTACATTCACCCTCAAAACATTTCTATGAAGAAGGTTCTATTTTAATTCCTATCTTACAACTGAAAAAAATAAGGCATAGAAAAATAAAATCATTTTCCCAATTACATAGCTAATAAATGATGGATCTGTAACCAAATTCAGACAGCCTGTCTCCAGTGTTACAACTCCTTTTCCTCAACTGCTAAACTGCCACAGGAGAAGTCAGTGATCTTGGATGGCCTCTTGAGTTTGAGTATGAGTTGTGTATTGGGGGGAAGAGGTCAGAAAAGAAGGGTAAAGAAAATGCTGATACATTCTTTAATGGGCTATGGTTTCCATGCCCAAAATATCAAAAGTACCACCACACATTACTTGAAAGAAATTGTAGAAAAGAAATTGAAGAAAGCTTTGATGAAGTATTCATTCTGTACTCTAGCCAAAACCATCTGCCTATATAACATCACCACTGGAAGGCCACCCAAAACCTCTCAAAAATTCCTAAAATTTAACTCATCATTTTTTTTTCCTAAATGTGTGTCTCCTATTATCTTCCCAAGGCTGATGAGGAATTAGAAACACAGAAATTTCCTGACCTCTTTACCCATCTTACCTAATTGTTCTTCAAGACCTGTTAATTCTGCTTCTTTATCCTATCAGCTCTGAAACAGAACATCTAGATTCTAACTCCAGCTCTACAACTTAGTAGCTATATTTCAGGCCAATTAACCTTACTGAAATGCAGTATTCTTACTACAAATGAATAGTACCGAATTCATGGGTCTTTGTGATGATTAAATGAGTTCATATATGTAAAACACTTAAAATACTACCTAACTCACGGAAAGAGCTCAATAAATGTTAAAATCTGTCATTATTATTACTATTTTGTCTGTCTCTCTCCCAAGATCCCCTCTGCCACTGGTTCAAACAGCATCCATTCTAAACTAGATTACTGCAACCGCCTCTTAACTAGCCTTCCTCTAATCTTGCCCTCTCTGATGTATTCTTCACCCAGAAAGCAGAGTACTTTGAACTCACAATGAATCATGTTTTTCTCTTGCTTAAAATCTGTTTAGGGTCTCCCAGAGGTTTTAAGGTAATACCCAAATTCCTCAACATGCACATGAGGACTGCTTTAACCCAAAATGATGGTATAATCTCATTCACCCTTTAAAATCCTGCTCAAATATCTTGACCCAAGTCATCAAAACCAAAAGTTCTCTCCTAAATGTTCACATATCACAATGCTAATACTAAACTTATTAATCAGAATTACAGATCAAGCAACCTGTTCAATCCCAAGAATGTAATCACCTTCAGTTCAGGGACCATATTCATTCATCTTCGTATCTCCAGAACTTATTCCATTGTATCACAGGAGAATGCAATGTTAAGCTAAATGAATGCTAAATAAATAACTTAGCATCAAAATAGTCTCAAATGTATGACACAGGTAAAACCATTCCTGAAACAACTCTCATAGGTAAGCTAAAAAAAAATTAATTTTCCTTTTAGAAGGAAAAAACATTCTGAGTTATGAAAAATTCTTACCTGGACGTATTTCTTGCTATAATCACAACCTGGCTGTAGGGATCTGAAATCTACTTTGCTTAATTTAGTTAATGGTTCAACTTCAGGCACCCCATTAACTTCTTTTATTAATTCAAGTGGCATATCAGATCTGCTTCACAAAGCTGTCCAAAGCAAATTCAACTAGGGAGCTGAACAGATTGCTGCTGGAAACACAAAAGACCAGTGGTTTATCCAAAATGTAGTCAGTAATTTGTTTTAAACCTCTTAAGTTTTGCTTTCCTTTCCTCTAAGTAAACACTGTTGGGGTTGGGGCTGAGTTTTCTGTAATTTTATTACAAGGATTAATACACACACTCTCCTACGGCATCGAAACAAAACCCTCTTTTACTCAGTTTTGTTTTTAAATAAGCATCTCTAAATAGCAGTTTCTAGGATCTGTGAAAACTACACTAACAATTGCTTCTACCACAGTGCTTTAAAATGTATGCTATTGGGCAAGGGTAAGAAGAGAAGTTCTGAATTTGTTTTTTAATCCCTTTGGCAGCTGTAATATTGTGTACACAATTTGTATACCAAAAGCTTATTACTCCAAACTACATCTGTTGCTTCCTCCCTCTAGCCTCTATACAATCGAAATTAACAACCACTGAACTCTTAAATTGTGCATTTTAGGTTCAGTCTCATTCCTCAAATCTTTTTGACTGTGGCACGCACTAGCGTCAATATTTAATTTTAATGTGTGCGCATCAACCTCCCCCAAGCATCCGCGAGAGCGAGGAGTTGGACTAACTCCAATCAGCTGTCCACAAAACGTCAAGCAACATGCTGGACACAGCACACTCACGATAAAGATAAGCATGGAGGGTTTCCCTTCGATAACTACACCGAATTTTGACCTTAACTAAATGAGCCCCTTTATAATACCTGTGCAGGTCCCCACCCACCTTGTACCCACGTAACGAACTCAAAAACCTTAGAAATCCACTCACCCGCTCTCTCTACAGAGAAACGAGGAAGTTCAGACGGGCGCGCCCGTGACGTCACACGCACGCTGGCGGCCCAGTTCCCACGCATGCGTACACGGTCTTTAGGGATTGCCGCTCGCTCCCACGCCCACGGAGGACGAACTGCGAAATGGTTCCCCAGCCTGAGGTGCCCTGGAAGTGTCACGGAATACGTAAAGCGTGCGGCGCCAGGGAAGTCGTGGGGTGGCTGCACGTTACCCACTCATTATTTCCGCTGCTCCGGGTAATCCTACCCCCGTCAGCTTCCCAGCCCCGCCCCCCATCAACTTCCCGCGGTCCGGGACTCTGCGTGACTCTTAAATCCTGTAACCAATAAAAAAGGCTTTCCGACACCAGGGCGGGATTCGAGATTCCGTCTAGTAGATAAGAAGGTCCTTTTGTCATGGCACTTAATTTAATCTCTGGCTCTCTATCTCCAGAAGCATTCACTAAGATGCAGTTTAAAAAAAAAAATAATTCCACCAATGAGTAGTGCTATTTTCAGATTTGATTAACCTCGTCATTAGTTTATAGGACTATAATTTTGTGGTAATAAGACATTATTAAATGTGAATCCTCTGCTAATTTATGATTTGAATCTCCGTTTAAGTGAAACCACCTCAGTGCAAAACTATAATGTAATAAAGAATTACATAAGTATTTCCAAGACTAAAATATCCTCTTTTGACACATATTTACAGGAGAAAACTATTTTCAAAGTAACTTTTTCAGCAGGAGGCATTAGAGGTTAGCCCATCTTCCTTCTCTCTCTCACTTATGTGTTCATATACCAGTGGTGACCACAGAGTCTTAGCTCATGAACTGTCCATTTGAAGAAAACTATGCTAAGTAAGACAGATCTCTCCTTCTTCCTACCATGGCCTCACCCAGTTCCGAAACACTGTTCCTCTTCCCTTAATGAAGTTCTCCACCGTGGCCTTGGATCTTGGCCACTAGCATTTCACCTCCATCAATTATATATCTTCTCTCAACATAATTTCAGCTTGTCCTTTTTATTCTTTGCCCTTAGCATTAAACACATTCCTTCACAGCCAGTGCTTATTAAGGACAGGGAGAATTGTTTATTACTATATACATAGAGCCTGTGCGGTATCTGGCACATTGTACCTACTAAATATTCATGAATGAACAAATGATCAGGAAAAATGTTTCTCTTTCCTCACCTCTGGCTTCCACCCGAGCATCTCATTACCGCCCCCACCCCTGCTACACTGAAACTGCCTTTGCCGACATCACTGAAGTCAGCTTTGTTGATAATCCAAAAGGACATTTTTTAGTCTTACTGTCTTTCTAAAAAGCATTTCTTTTTTGCTACCACCTTCTTAGTTTTCCTTGTCTTTATCAATTGAATATTTTAAAGATTTTTTCTCTTCCTCTGTTTAGCGTATAAATGGCAATATTCTACTGTGATGAAATCTAGCAGAAGTATCTACAACTGCTATTTTGTTGTGATTGTTCTCAATTTCTCTAGGACCCAAATACTTCCTACACGTCCAAGGAACTTCTAATCTTGTTTCTTCTTCACAATCTCCCAAGAAATGGCAGAGCTGGGGGTGCATATGGCTCCACAGCCTCTAGTGTATGCTCTTGCATTAGCAGTTAGTTTCCTCTACAAATGAAGAAAATTGAACATCAATATACTGTACAATTTAATATGAGAGAGGAAAAAAGAGGTTGAATCAACTAAATGAAGGCACTGAAGAGATATATGCCAAAACAGTCCATTATGGATTTTCTACATTTACTGAAGCAGTAAAGATAGCTATTCTGACTAACCATTAATGTAATATCTATACCGTTACAATTTTTAAAAGTACGATGAGGGAAGTTTTGATATAAAATCAACAATGAAAAATGTTCAATTTTAGGAAAAGTTAAAATGGGTTTCTTACAAATAATAAACAGTAAAAGTGAAATGGGTATTTTTATGAAGAAAGGCATAAATATAAGGCTTTAGTGCTGTTATTATAAATACAAAGTGGAAAGTTTTTATAGACAAGAGGGTATAGCAAGAAGTTATTAGCAAAAGAAAAGAAAGGATTGTTTCAGGCAAGGTCACCCTCCCTTAGGGGGAAGGTCAGGGGGTCTTCTCATGCAGCAGGGGTGTGGGGGGAGTGGGGAGAGTGCGGGTGTAGGAATGGAGAGGGCTCACAGAACAGATCACTCATTGGTGCTGCCAATCAATTCTGTATTGACTCTTCAAACTGTATTTCTGAAGGAGATTGAAACTGCGATTAGGCTGGGCATTAAGCCCTGGTTATGTAGCATGGCCCAGCACAAGTGATTTGCTCTCAGGCCTGTGGCATTCTTTTTAGGAAATGTAACATCTCAGTGCCTATTGAGAAGAAAAAGATTTCTAAAAATCATAGTATTAGATATCATGATTAACACTAAGGGAAAAATGAATAGCTGGAAACAGAAAAGCCTTAAAGTCTAAAAGCCAAGGTACCATAATAGAAGATCCAAATGTGTGAAGAAAAGCATAGACTAAGCAGAAGGATCAAGATTTTCATCATGAAGAGGAATGGGTCATTTTTCTATTTGGACCATGGTTTGTGGCACATAGGTGACTCATAGTGTGTAAAAGACACAGGATTGACTTAGGCTGTCTCAACAGTGATAAGTTTTAGTTAAATTGCATCAAAGCTATATGTTGAGATGAAAAGAAATTGCATCACAAACATTAGCATGAATGTTAATTCAGAAAAAGATTCTCTGATAAGCCCAGCTTATAGAAAAAAAACCAATACCCCAAGCTGCCTATGTCTGGGTTTCTTCATAGAGGTGACGAAGAAAGAGAAATTGAAAAGGAACCAGCAAAAAGCCAGAGGATATGCTAGATTCCCAAAAAAATTGTCACTCTTTGATGTCTGTGCTGTCCTTCATTCACCCATTCAAAAAAAAATATTTAATAAAGTAATTGAGCTCACAGTAAGTAAGGAATTTATTTTATGTTCAGACTGATACAAGTATCACTGAGGCAACACACACAGCAAGATGAAGAAAAATAAAAGGAAAAGACCTTCTGGAAAACAACAGACATGAAGAACTGATGAGTCAAACAGGATGTTAATGTCTTGAGTTTGGAGTCTCTTTTTTCTACACACCCTACATTTTATACCATGAGGATATATCCTGGAAAGTCCTTCAATAGCTCCCACATATAGAACATTGTATCTATAAATTCTTAGGCTAAACATTTGTGTTGATGATTTATTTTGGAAAGACAATGGTCCAGCTCTTAAAGTGGGAGAGCACACCAGCAGGTAGCAATTGTTAATCTGCTGTTTTTCTCTTTGTTTCCCCTTTTTTGAGTGATCAAAAGTACGTGCACTTTAAAATCCTTTATGATGAATACTTTGAAGTAATGGAAAATTGATTAAGAAGTTGTATGTTTTTAAAATTCATCATGGTTATTTGGAATAATTGAGAACAATTTGCTGTGGGTTCGAAATGCATTTTTAACACCAAAATACATTCTGTAATTTCGTCTAATCTTTCTTCTATTAGTTTAAATAGAATCTGCATTTACTCATTATGTTAATACATTTTTCCAGGAAACGGAAAGGTCAACATCACAGAATCCTCTTGACGAACACTGAAGGTGTTTTATCCATTTTTCACTTAATTACAATGACAGTCTTTCTATGGCTAAATAACAATTAATCTTTTCTCCCCACAGCTTGCCCATCAAGATTATGTGCTGTTAGAGTGATAGGGTTATAGCTACTATATTAATTATCGAATAAAATATCATTTGTGTTGGCCTTACTTTTGTCTAGTTCTCTATAATAAAAAATTAGTCCAACATATCTTTCCTATGACTTCAGCAGAATAGAAATAATTACCATATAATCACTTTCAAAAACTTCAGTTTAATTACGGCATATTCAGTCCAGAAGGCAGCACCAGTTCTGCACAACCAAAGCAAAAGAAGAGCTGGAGAAAAACAAACACTATGCCTCCCACTTATTTTCATATTAAGATGGCATAAATCCAAAGTTGAGGCATATTTGTTTAACGGAGTCCTCTAAGCCTATTAGAATGAAAGGAAATTTATTATTTTTATCATTTGTATCTGACCATTAAGAGTTTTTTATGTACTTGAAGTAACCTGCTAATTCCATTCATATGGGACTTCCAAATATTCATAATGTCAATCTTGATCAATCTTCAAAATTTTTCCTTATATTAGAAATGCCTCTTTTCTTTCCATTTCTGCTCAATATCCTTTATATCAAACTATTCCTCCATCAGAAAAATCCTATCCTCTTTCCCACAGTTACAGACCAGAAATTTGCATGTTATCCAATGCAAGCTAAGGAGCGATGAAGAGATATTTTCTGGGGACAAATAGAGGAGATTCTTTTTCTCTCTTCGTAGAGATAATATGACAAATCCACCACCCTTCTTGCTGGTATCAACTGAGGAAATACATAGACATTTATTCAAATATAACTACCTTTGTATTCAAATATCCCCCTCAGTCTCCTGCTAAACAGTACTAACTCTCTTGCTGTTTTTGAAACATCCTAAACACACTATCTGAGATTCTCTTTCCCAAACACCCACAAAACTCATTCTCCTCTTTCAAGTGTCTGCTGAAAAGTCACCTTAACCTTAACAGACAGTGTTTCCCTAACCATTTACTCACTACTCGTTTACCATGCTGTATTTGTTTTATATCACGTGACTATATATTACCAGTCCAAATGACAATGTTTGAGCTCTAGATCTGCTTATATCCAGTAGTCTATTATTTTTGCTTATGATATTTTGACATGGGTTTCTTTCATTTGCATGAAAATAATTAACAAGTTCTTACTCTCCCTGAGCCAAAAACTGAGCTTGGCTACTCTATTGGAATGCCACTATTGAAACCTTACCATCTCCTTTTCTTTACTAGTGCCATTATTTTATTTTGTGATACTTGAGACCATCTGTGTCAACATGTCTTAGTAAGGTTGTAGACCACCTATGTCAACAGCTAGGAAAGGGAGCAGATCTTAGATTTTAGAAGAAGAAAATCACATAGAGAAGGCTGCCTTGAACAGATGTGACCTTCAGTGTAGTGATACAGTCAGCTTCAG